GGGGGGGTGAGTGGGGAGGAGAGGAGGGGGGGAGATGGGGGTAGGTGGAAGTGGGAAGATACGAGGGAAGTGGGAAGGAACTGGGGTACGAGGGAAGTGGGAGAAGTGCGAAGTAGAATGAGGAAGTAGAATAAAGCGCTAAGCGGGAAATGAAAAATAGGATCCAGACGCACGTATACACGACCACCACCCTCCCCACCCAAGCATACAACCCCGTCTCGATCAACAACGGTATATCAAGTACGACGACCCTCTCCCCCCTGACCCAAGCTCCCAGCACACGCATGAACATCGCCCGTCTCACCCGGGGGTGAACAATCCTCTCCAACTCTTTCCTCTTCCCCGGGTTTTGGAAGACGATTTCGGCGAGTTTCTTCCTGTCCAACTCTCCATCGGGTAGCAGGACGCCGGGGCCGAAAAGACGGGTTATTGCCGCCAAGCCGGGGGAGTGGGGGGCCACTACTTCCCGGGATAGGAGGTCGGCGTCGATTACTGGAATTTGGTGAGCTGAGAGGAGGGATGATACTGTTGATTTTCCTGTTGCGATCCCTCCTGTGAGACCGACGACGAGCATGTTTGAGGTGGGCGAGGTGGGTGATGGTATGAGAGTCACAGAGGGTGTTGTTCGGAGCCGTGTCTCCGAGGATGCCACTTGTAGGAATGTACGTCATCGGGCGGTTGTTCGGACAAAGGTTGTTGAGGATGCACTTATTTTTGACGCGGATATTACGGGTGTCATGTAAGTCGCGAATAATGTCGCGCATAAACGCGCCTCTCATTGTACTACTTAACACACTTTCTCTCTTCTCTCTTCTCACCCCTGGTAGGGCGTTTGTTATTTTCTCTCGTTGCTGTTGCTGTTGTTGCTGTTGTTCGTTCACTCATTCATTCCCATACAACTACATAACCATTCACTCCCTTGCAACACACTCCATGGCAAACCCCTCGCCCTCACCCTCCCCACTCCGCTCCCCCTCCCCCCTCCCAGAAGGCCTCACAGAAATCTCATCCCCCTCATTCCCCTCATTCCCTTCCTCCCCACACACCCACTCCCAAGACTCCCTCCCATCACTAGACGTCAACACCCTCTATTCCTGGCTTGGTCTCTCACCTGCCAGTGCCCATAGAAGGGGGAAGGAGAACTCGCCACACTCGCCCTCGATCTCCCTCCCTAGGTCTATGAGAGCTGTGCGGGCTAGGGAAGGACGTGCGCTTGCTCAGATGGCGCCTGATTCCCCTTCCCATCCCGAATCGTCTTCGGCTAGCAAAATCCCCCGCTCGACCAGGAAACCTACCAATCCCCCTCGCACAGGGCCAAATCCTCCACCAAGCAGCTACAGCTACACACTCCGCACGCCCCAGAAAAGCTCTACACCGCGCTCATCCCGCTTCCGCCCCCGCCCGCGGCATAAGCAGCCCCATCACGAGCAGCCCCTCTGCCCAGAAACGTCCTTCATCTCCACCTCCCAGGGATCGACCCTCTCCCGATCTGGAAGACGCAGCTCGGCCGAGATCTCAGCCTGGGCCGCGAGTGGGGTCTTCCCCCAGCCAGAGGGATCTACTACTCCCAGTGACGGTGCCGGGGGAGGAGGAGGGCAGGGGTCGGGCGAGCCTGCGCTGGGGTTGGAGGGAGGGGGAGGATGGGAGAAGGCAGTCACGAGGGAGATACTGGAGCTGTCCTTCTCCCGGATGGATAGGAGCTCTTTGGCCGTATCGGTCCGTTCGAAAGCTAGACCTAAGGAGCCCGAGTCGCGCGCATCGGCCTCTGCGGGAAGGTCTTCCCCAAAGTGGACTGCTCTGGACAGGCGGGGGACGTATTGGCACAAGCGCGGGCACGGGGAGTCTGATTCTGGACAAGCAGAAGCAGAAGCAGAAGCAGAAGGAGAGGGAGAAGGAGAAGGTAGACCCCGTTTGGCACCGGATACGCCCTCCCGCCCCAGATGGGCAGACTTCCTTTTCCCCTCCCCAGCTCCTGCCCCACCTCCCCCGCCTCTTACGCCTCTCGCTCTCACTCTCACGCCTCTCACGCCTCTTATCCCACACCACGCTCCTCCTGCGGAACACCCCCCCTCCGATCCAGGCTCGGACGGGGTATCCCCCACTCCCGCGCCCCCCGTGCACCGGGGTATCACACCCGCAGGCCAGCTCACTCTACACCCCCCGAAGGCAAAAGCGCGGGCTGTTTCTGGCCCTGCAGTTTTTGGGGGAAGGCCCACTGTTAGGCTTGTGCTTGCCCCTTCCCGTCCCGGTCATGGGCATGGGCATGGGCATGGGCGCGGGTCTAGCGATTCCCGGTATGAGGAGGGGAACGGGGCGGTGGGAGTGGATGGGGAAGGGAAGGGGAAGGGGAAAGGGAAAGGGAAAGGGAGGAGCGCTTCTGCGCCTCTTTCTGCGCCTCTTGCGCCTGCCCAGCCCTGGACCGAGGGACGGGCTGGACGACCAGAGGGACAAAGCCGGAAGAGCTGGTCATCACGGACACGGAGCACTTCTACCCCCAGTTTATGGGAAACGTCCATCCTTGAAGAGGGGGAGTGGGATACCCAGCTGGAAGGACGGGGACGGGGACGGGGCAAGAGGGAGAGGAATGGGCTCCAAGGACGAGAACTGGGCTTCTGTGAGATGGGTTCGCTCGCCTTCCCCAGGCTTACGGAAGAGCAGCAAGAACTGGACCAGGAACTGGAACTGGAATACGAACACGAACACGAACGCGGATGGGAAAGACTCCCACGCAGAGTGAGCCTAAAAGACGTCATCCTCCCCCGGCCGGTGGTGGTTCTCCTCGAACCTGCTACGTCTGCGTCTGCATCTGCTGGGCGTGCTCCTGCGACTGCGACTGCGACTGTGACTGGGACTGATGGCAAGAGGAGGTCTGGGTCGGGCTCGTTGTTTTCTCTCAAGCCTGAGAAGCTTGATAGGATGAGCTTGGGTGGGGAGAGGGTGAGGAGTAGGCGGTTGATGAAGAACAGTGCGGGAGCGGGAAGATCGGGAAGCTCGAAGATCAAGAACAGGAGCAAGAGGGAGAGGGCGAAAGGCTGGGTGCTAGGGGCGAGAGGACCCGAGTTCGAGAAGATCGACCATAGCCGGGTTTGTACGTCGTCGTCAGCCGCGGCGGCGGCAGCGGTGGGGGAGTGCGTGTCGCCAGAGGTGTCCCAGGGCCCGGAGTCGGAGAGGAAGGAACTCGAGAACCCGGGGAGGAGCGGTGAAACCGTGCCAGTCACGGCCCTGGACGGTCAAGACGAACTTGAAGACTCGGAGGGAAGAATCAGGAAATGGCTGTTTTTTATCGGGTTTGTCTTTTTTCCCGCTTGGTGGGTCGGGGCCCTCCCCTCTCTCCCCTCCCTCCCCTCCACCTCCCTCCCCCCAGTTTCGCGTTCGCTCATTTCCCCGCACGTGCGCGCCCCGGATGTTGAGACTGCCACTGCCAATTCGCCAGGGGTGAGAGGCAGGGGGGAAGAGACTGAGCGATGCAGGGTTTGGAAAGGGAGGTGTAGGGCTGCGGCGGGGGTTAGCGCCCTTCTGTGCGTGGGGGGGTTGGTCCTCCTTTTGGTATTTGTGTTGCGTTAGCCATAGTTGACTGCGAGTGGTTCGAGGCATGGGGTGTACGGTAGGATTGCAGGTTTTGCGATTTGGATGATATGGGACATTATAGATGATAGAATAATGTTACAATTATAATGTTTTAATCAGACGATGACACGTTCCTTCCCCTTCCTCTCTTCCATCAGTCGCCACAATCCCCAATCCCCAATCCAAAATTCTGCCCCTCGCGGGATCTTCCTTCCCTCCCTTTGTCCATCATCAAACGCGCCAAGCATGCGCGGACAACGTGTGCTTCTTTTCAGGGTTTGTCCTATTGAAGAGCGGCGAGGCGAAGGCGGGGCAAAGGTATTCATTCGAGTAAAGTATACAATTTCACTCTTATTTGCTTACTCTTCTTGTCCTTTCTTTCACCTACTCTCACTCTTTCTCTTACAATTACTCTTATTCTTACTATTACTCCAATTGATACTCTAATAGCCCTTGCAACGTACGGAAAAGGATGCGCTCGTCATTCGACTTCCGCACACCTTCTCCGGCCCCAGTCCCTCCCTCTCCACTCCCAAGCGACCATCCCCTCTCGCTCGAACTCCAATCCCTGCGTACAGCTCTCACGCAGTATCAGGTACATCCCCTCCCTCCTCCATAACACTTCACTCACCCCCAACCAGACCGCAGCACACAACAGCGCCATCCACCTGCAGCACCTCTCGCTCTCCGCCTCCTCCGCCAAAGAAAGGAACAAACAACTCACAGCACTCACCCTCCGGCTACAGGAAGAGCTCGCCCTCTTGCGTGAGAAACCGGCGGAAACGAACGTTCATGATAGGGAGTTTACGCTTGTTGTGAGGAGGCTGAGCGCGAGGGTGGAGGAAGTGGAGCGGGCGTTGGAGGCACGGGTTAGGAGGGCGTTGGAGTTGGAGGACAAGCTTGTGAGGGAGAGGGAACGGGGGGGGGGGTGGACCTAAGAGGTCGGAGTCGGTGCTGGGGTTGGAGG